TTAAATCATCAGTAGTATTATCACAGATGGGTCTATTGACTGTATTAATAGATATGTGGATATTCCAGTGCTGAAACAATATTTGTTCTAAATCTGGATGCATCCGTATTTCTTCATTCATGATTATTGTTGGCAATAGCTCATCTTATGTTAACATTTTCTGTATTGGGTACTATACATAATTTTAAAAGTCCTTTCACAAAATGGGTCATATCCTCTAAGAACATTTTATTTATCCGTCATGTATTTTTACATTAAGATAACAGACCTATTTGGCAACAAAAGTAACAAATCAAAATTTCACTCAAGAAAATGAAGTGTAGGTTAAATTCGGGAAATACTATTACATAGTTCAGAATCTTTCATGAGTACACTGACGGAAACTATGGAGCATTCTCCACAGGAGGGGTGTCGCTAACCATCTGGTAGATGTAACAAACAACATGTATGATAGAGCATGTGCATCAGAATGAACACAGGAGATTGTCTTTGTTCAGGAGTTAGAGAAGGGTGCAGTTTGTCCCCTACTTTATTTAACCTATACCTCAACAATGCTGTGAGACATTGGTAATCACAGCCGAATGTTTTAAAAATGCATGAAAATATGGAGAAGGAAAAATTTATGTTTGCGGATGACCAGGTTATTATCTCTGATGATAAAAATAATAAAAGTAATTGCTGAATATAATTTTTCCATTTCCAAAGAAAAAACAAGCCATGGCCTTTTGTGGCAAATGACTTTTGAGGTCTAAGCTATGGTAGACAACCAGCCTTTAGAACAATTTAACTTTCTGGGATGCCAACTTTCATATCACAGAGAAGTGGATATCAGTCATAAGCTGGAGAAGTTTAATTATATATGCGATACAATCAGAAGCACTTTGAAGAACAAAACTAGAATGGGTTTCCAGATTAAATATTACAAGGTTATGGCAGTGGCTGCTGGCCTCTATGGAAGTGAAGATTGGACATTAACAAAGAAAGACTGAAGTAGAATTGAAGCAGCTGAGATGCGATTTCTATAATCAGTTCTCAGCGTAACAAGACACAATTGTTTAAGAAACACTGTGATAAGGAAGAGACTAGCAGTCAATAGTCTCAATGATAACACAGATTCAAAGGAGCTCCATAATTTATAATTTTCACAAAATATTAACTTCCAAAGTAACTAATTCCCTGGTAGCAGAACATGCAGGTTTAACACAGACAATACCAAAGCCTGCCACTGGCCATGATCCTGAGCCAGCTCCACCAATTTGCCATCCTCACAGCCCACCTTACTAAGATTCATCTTGATGTTACCCTTCCATCTCCTTCTTGATCTACCCAATGGTCATTTTAAAGAAGGAATCCCTACCAAAATGTTGTATGCACCTCTTGCCTCCCCATGTGTGCTACATGTCCAGCCCAACAGAGCCTCCAAGATTTCACTAACCTTACAATGCTAAGTGGCCTGTACAATTATGAAATATTCTAAATTCCCTACTTATTTCATCCCTCCTAGGTCCAAATATCTTCATGAGCACCTTGCTTTCAAACACTGTGATCTATGTTCTTCCTCAAGGTAAGAGACCATGTTTCACAACCACACAAGACAACAGGAAAAATTATTGTTTTATATATCCTGATATTCTGGATTTTGGATAGTAAACAAGATGATAATAGTTTTTGAATTGAATGAAAACAAGCATTCCCCGAATGTATTCTACTCTTAATTTCATCATGGACATCATTTCTATTTGTTATTGTTGTTCCCAGATACTTAAATTTTTAAACATTTTCAAATGATGCGTTACTTGTAACTATGTTCTGCCATTGTTGCTGATGTTGATCTCATATCAGACACACATATTTTGATTTGTCTACAATTACTTCTAGGCCTATTTCGTTGCTAGCCTGTAGGAGAGTTTCTGCATTCTTGGTTATGGTACCCACACCTTCCTCCAGCAAATTCACATCAAGAGCATAGGCAAGTACCTGGTGCAGATCATTCAATTTGAGCCCTTCTTGATTCCCTCTGACCTTCCTGATGACATGATCTCGAGCAAAATTAAAATGCACTGGGGATAAACAACTCATTTTAGGCTATTGTGCACTGGGAAGGGAATCGACAAAAGGTTACCTATAC